ACAGATTCCCAATAGGTGGCGCGGCGAACTTCGAACGTTACCAACATGGCTGCGTCCTTGATAAAGTAAGTCCCTCTCAGAAAAATGTTTGTTATGATGCCATCGGCTCACCGATAGTCATGTCCAGCTGCCTTATTTTATTACAGAATATGTGACTACATTGAATTTTATATAGTTAAATGGAAAATTTTAAGAAGCCGGTTGCTAGTAACAATAATATTATAGACGACTTGCAGGCAATGATGGCACATACACATCACAAGTTCTGTTCACAACACAAGCACAATCTACATAACCGAGACACGTACTCTAGCCGGCGTACTGCCTATTACGGTTACTGTTACTGTAACTAACCTCATAACTTCATAAGTGTTAGTTTTCAAGAGTCCTGGGGATTATAGCGAAGACGGAGAGAGAAGTGGATCAAATCGGTAGATCCACACTGCAGATCGCAGCGGAAAAGGTTGCAAATTTGCTATTTACTAAGAATGAATGCAGTGAATTACAATACGGAATCACAGAGACAAAGAAGCTAAACTTAAAAGGACCCTTAGAAGTTTGTACGTGCCGATTTGGTTGCAAATTGGTGCCGATTTGGTGCAATGGTTGCAAATTTGCTATTTACTAAGGATGAAGGCAGTGAATTACAATACGGAATCACAGAGACAAAGAAGCTAAACTTAAAAGGACCCTTAGAAGTTTGTATGTGCCGAAAACAGTGATCTATGCCAACCATGCTTGAAATCAGTCGGTCATTATCTAGCAAGATATTTTTTCGTTATTGCATTAATGAAGTGGTACCATCCGCACTCTAACGAAGTGCCGAGTGTTACTTTTACTGCATTACGGTTACAGAATGATGCAATTATACAATTTCTTGTTATGAAAACAAAATATTAACTTTCATCATCGTGAAACCAAATGCATTTAATCTTGTTCCTAAGCATGTAATAATAAAATCATACATTAGGCCTAGTTGGTCGTTAGTCATTTCTATAAGTTATTGTTGTTGTTGTTATTCATTTATACTCCTGCTTCACAAGGTCATGGTCACAATGTATACCCTCTGTATCGTTAGCTACCAGTGTTTCCTCATAGTAATTGGTTACGATCGATTTGGATATAATAAGTTATGATCGATTTGGATTTTTGAACCGATTCCCAAAACTGTTAAATGACAATATAACAATAAACTCCCTAATAACATCAAACTAATGTCAAGATCTAGTTTTCGCTCATTATGTCTTGTCTTTTTCATATTTAGGAATGTTATCAAAATAGGCGTAGCTGGGGGTGCCCTCTACGTTACGATTGACCAGGGTGTGTGGAGTTTGGATGGCAAACAAGGAGCAAGGACATTACAGAGCGTTGCAAGCAAAGTTGCACCTGATTCTCATGTTTACACAAAAGAGGTATGCAGGTTATTTCTGTACAAAAATAACACGCTTCATATTATCCAAGGCAAATCAATCCATAATAATGAACTAGAGTTATAGCTCGTAGAATTTTGATGTAAGTTCGTTTACTGGTCATTGTTTTTTTTTGCAGATTTTAGTTGGCTTAATTGTATTTATTAACTGAGCATTTTTATGTCTATTTGTATTTACTATGTAATTAATATCTCTTAACTCTGCAACAGATCCCTGAAGTAAAGAATGTAACAAGACTAATGGAAGAAAAGTGGAACCGTGGTATGTCACGTCAGTGGTTGTGTTACTTCACCTCACATAAATTACTTCGTATTCCATATAAATATTAATAAAATTCATGGATATACCTCCTAACTCTAACTTACTGAGTTTAAAATAATTGTTCAGTCAGCAGAACTAGCACAAATTTTTCTTGATGAACCCTATACCATTAACTGTAAGTATGGTAACCAATATAAGCAATAACTTTATCAACTATCTAATGAACTGATTATCATGCATACATATATATAGTGACCGTGGCAAGACACTAGCTGCTTGTAGCTTCTGTCAGCCGATCGGCTAACGTATATGATCAATCGTTGCTGCGATTTGTGTGGCTTCAACTAAAATCTGGTCATTGGGCTAGGTCGGCCACACAAATTCTTGTTATCGTTCTAGCTTGTTACTTATCCAATATTTCTCTACAAAGAAATTGTTGACTTTCGACAACTCTTCACTGAAGACCATTGGTAAACCATTTAAAATAGCTTGTTGAACCAGTGTTTAAAGGAGCGCTGCTTTATGTCATCATGTTTCTTATATTATCCTACACTATATGGCTGCTATCCTTGATCGCACGTGTGTGTATTTGTTTGCTCCAGGTGTTCAGGATACTTTCTTGTGGATGGATGATGCCCCCTCGAACCTAAAGCGATGCGGAGAACGAGTAAAGAAGTACTTTAGCTAATGGCGTCCCCTTGTAGCAGGTGCCACCACTCCTGTCATGTGCGCAACTGTCTCAGTTGTTATTGTAATAATGTGTATGTTTAGAGAAACCGTTTGTGACGCTTAGACGCACGTATGAAACACGTGCAGTGTGCAATTCATTTGCCTGTAAATACTTGCGAGTCGGAGTGATCTCTGGAGTGGACCCCTGTTAGACAAATGTTATAGCATCATGCAGTGCGTGTGTTCGCTTGGTCAACCTAGGCTATAGCGGTGATGCAGTTATAAATGGCATGCAAGTAGCTACGCACGTAGTGGAAGAGTTTAATCATGCACACTTGCCACATACTTAACAGTTTGCTCTCTGTAATCAGCGCCGTAAATAGAGATTTTATATATTATATGCTTGCGCAACTAAAAAAATAAGTATAACAATAAGTTTGCACCATAACTGAGTAATTACTCTGCAAGAATTCGTAGGTAGATAATCTGTTGCTTTCAAAAATATAAACGCACTCAACAAGATGTGAGGTTAGAGGTAATAAAAAGGTATATTTATTGACAATTACAAGTGTTTCAAGTGAATTTGTTTTATTTTAATGAAAACCATCACGAATCCAATTCTTGCATTTATTGTGCAGAGGTAGTTAGAGGATAACTCTTGGTGTGAAATATATCTATCTTATCTATTTTTCTCTCTCTCTCTCACTCTCTCACTCTTTCTCTCTATGTAATACATATATATCTTCATGTAAGTGGACAGTAAAGAGTACTGTGGCAGGATCGTTGCTCCTAGTACACTTTACGTGTTAATATTCCTGGCCACGAGAGAAAGCACATGTCCTTTTACTGCCGTACATATCTATCTCGAGACTTTGCACGAAAAATATACACGTCGACTCTACAAAGACCTAAAGCTAAAACGACCGTATTAAACCCGTGCATTATTAAAAACGTGCTTCCTACGTCAATCTAAAAAACGCACAAAAACAGCAGAAAACTGCCAGGATGCAGCCGAGGCTCTTGTCACTGGCGCCACTATCTGTATGATGGCTGCCATACCGCGCTCTGTTGCGCCGCCCTATGCTCTCCAAATATTCCTCGCCAGGGGGCGGCTCTGCGCCCCGTGTGTGTGCGAAGTTGCCACAGCGGGGAAACTTGTAGGGCGGGTAGGGGAAGTCCGTGGGTTCGCCTACCTGCATGACTACAGCCATGCCGATCTCTGCGTGGAATGCGATGTGGCAGTGAAAGAACCATATGCCTGCAAGGGGGAGATAGATGTTGAGAAGTTACAGGTAGGTGCTAGCTGTGATCATTGCTTGCGGTAGAAATAGTTCATAAATGCTTCCCAGGTTGGTGCAATTGACGATTTCAAATAAGCGTATAATGTAGTTTTGGGAGTTGGTGTGAAAATGTTGCCACCCGTACGATATAATGTAGTTGGTTTTGGGAGTTATATTGTGAAAACGTTGCCACCAGTACGATGTACCCCCTCCAAGCTTTAATGTTCGAACCGTTGCATTTTCAGTTATAATTCATTAGGGCTTTAATTGCTAATTAATAGTTGGTTTCGTACCAGGGTTATCGGCGTGAAATCTAATGATGGTGTAACCGCCGTCAGGAACTGTCACTGTGTCCTTGAGTGGAGCCCCGCTCAGCTTTCTGTGGGAAATAAACAAATAGGGACATGAATGATAACATTATGCATTACGCGTCATTGCGTATTACATGCTACACTTGTGGGGAAGAGAGGTTAAAGTACGCTCACTTTCGCTCTACCTTGTGTTGTGAAATATTTGCACTGGGTATGTAATGCATGACAGTAATGTATACATAATATAACGTAACACGTAATAGTTGTATTGAGTGCGCCCGTGAGATGTGTAAATAATTACATTGTGTGCGACCGTAACATATACATAATTATAATAATATAATACATAATAGTTTTATTGTGTGCGGTCGTGGGATGTGTAAATAATTATATTGTGAGGTTTAAATAACAACATTGGCTACGACCATAACATTTAAACAATATAGACATATAGTAATATAATACATCATCATAAATATATCACCATCTAACAAACACATGGTCGAGCTGAAATATGCAAAGATGTGTTTGGTTAACATTTCATGCGATCAAATATACGCAGAGGTACGCCGCTACACAGTTAACCCGCGCATGCGCAGAGTCCCGCCATGCACGTACGCATCTACCGCAGCCGGCTGAAAGGGGTGATAGGATATGTTTACTAGGCACTTCTAATTTTAACATATATTTTACGATATATTAAAGAATGATGCAAAAACCCTAAAAAGTGCCCTAACCCTAACCCTAACCCTGACCCTAATTAAATTTAAAATATATGTTAAAATTAGAAGTGCCTAGTAAACATATCCTACCACCCCTTTCAGCCGGCTGCGCATCTACCAGCGACCGCTAGCAGAAGCCCTCTGACGTCATCACGTGACGTGTAAGGAGAGCAAACTGTGTACCTTGCGATGAGTCCCTCACGATCTAGTCGCCTGACGTCATCGGCGGTGACCCCTGACTTATTAACGCGGTCCATCGCAACGACCCGGAATCTGTATCCGTGAAGGTGAAACGGATGGCTTGCGTCAAAGGTCACTCCTGTGAGAGAACAACCGTCAAAGATATTGTTCCGACGATAGATGGCGCCACGAATTGTGCCAAGGGCTACATGTGCCGGAAAGGGAAGGGGTCCATTCCCAGTTTTCCCGGTAAAAACGTACGGTTTCACAGTTTTCCTCTAGCTGATGTTTCCTAGATCCCAAGTGATGGAAACGGTCCAATCCGACGTCCCAAAAATAATCGTCGGATTCCCTCAAAATATATTAGGAGCCTGCGTAGCGGATCCACAGGTCAGCCCGGTGGAGAGAGCAAGAGAAAGAGAGACGGAGAGGAGGAGAAAATGGAGAGAGAGAGAGAGAAAAAGAGAGCGACAAAAAGAGAAAGAGCGACAGCGAGAGAGACAGAGAGAGAGAGAGAGAGAGAGAGAGAGAGAGAGAGAGAGAGAGAGAGAAAGAGAGAGAAAGAGTAAGAGGTTCTCCGTACATTTATATTGAGTAGATACCCTGGGGGTGGGGGGGCCTGCATGGCTGCGTTACACTATCGATTTTTGTCAGCGAATCGTAGCGATTTCAAGTGCATTCCAACTTGCCCCCGACTTGACCCAAGTGCATTCCAACTAATCGGCTGAAATTCGATTGTGTTGGAGTCAGACGTCGAGTCAAGTCGCCGAGTTGGAGAAATAGAACGTGTTCTATTTTGCACGACTCGGACGATTTGCTGACGAAAATCGATAGTGTAAACGCAGCCCGCACAGCTGCACATAAGCTGCTGCAGTCTATACAGCGCTGTTTCCTACACAAACAACTTCTCTGAGCACGCATAGCATATAGATGCGATGGCTATAGTTCTAATAATAGACCATACGCTGCAGCATTGCGAATTCGTATTGAATCGCGCCGTTTTACACGTTTAAGTGGCATACTTCTTACAAATGCCATCACTGCCTATCATGTTTTACGTATTACGACTTCGTCGACTAATTGAAAGTTGATCAACTCGTCAAGTTTAACAATAAGTTGATAGTGTAAATGCCTATCTTGTTTAACGTACTTTCGTTAATAAGATGTACTCTACTCACAAAGACATCACTGCATATCATGTTTTACGAACTTTCGTTAACAAGATGTACTCTACTCACAAAGACATCACTGCCTATCATCATGTTTTACGTACTTTCGTTAATAAGATGTACTCTACTCACAAAGACATCACTGCCTATATCTTGTTTTACGAACCTTCGTCAATGAGCACCATTTCCACGACGTTACCCAGTGGGATCTTGTACATGTAGACACACTCGCAGTATTCCTTGTCGCAGTTGCGCCGAGTTGTTTCATTGCATATCAGATTTTGTGGAACGTCTGCGCAAAAACAACAATGTATCGCTTCTTGTTCTCATCTCATGCTAATTAAAGAAAAGTCGTAATCTGGAAATTGGTGTATCTACGGGTGGATTGATGGATAAATTGACGAAAAGGTGACTAAATCGATGATACATCCAAAAGATAGATGGATAAAAATGAAATCATATATCATATCCAAAATTTAAAAAAATAGATTAGTCATACGCATCTATGACTTCTGATTACACGTTAGTTTAGTATTAACTGGGGGGTGAATAATGACAAATATTATCTATTATATATATATATATATATATATATATATATATATATATATATATTATAAGGACAATTATATTTCTCATTATTCACCCCTGATGTTCAGGAGCAGACGCGCATACCGTAGTATTGTGTGAGAGGCGGTGACGGTGGCAGAATTGCTGATATGTGGTTGACTTGAGGCGTGTACAGGTGCTTGCCCATTTCTATAGCTCTGATCGGGTACAGCGACGGATCATGGAATAGCGTGCTGTCGACCTGCTCACGTCAAAGCATAATTAATGTTATTCGCCTGAAGCATATCGGCTTGTACGCAAAGTAGTTCAGGCGCGAACCTGTGAGCAGTTGTCTTGCGATGTAAGTGTTTGTGGTTGGTCGTGCGTGCGTGGATGCCTACGTGCGTGCGTGAATATGTGCGCATGTACGCGTGTGCGGGCCTGCGTGCGTGCGTGCGCGGATATGTGAGCATGTACGCGTCTACGTGCGTGCGTGGGTGCGTGCGTGCGTGCATATGTGCGTGCGTGCGTGCGCGGATATGTGCGCATGTACGCGTCTACGTGCGTACGTGGGTGCGTGCGTGAATACGTGCGCATGTGCGTTCGTGCGTGCGTGCATATGTGCGTGCGTCCGTCCCCACGTGCGTGCGTACGTGCGCGCGTATGTGCGTGCATTCGTCCCCACGTACGTGCGTACGTGCGTCCATGCGTGCGTCCGTACCTACGTGCGTGCTTACGTGCGTGCGTAAATACGTGCGCATGTGCGTGCGTGCGCGAGTGTGTGCGTCCGTGAATACGTGTGCATGTGCGTGCGTGTGTGCGTGCGTCCGTTCCTAGAAGCGTACGTGCATACGTGCGTGCATGCGTGCATACATACATGCGTGCATGCATGCATGCGTACTTATGTGCGTGCGTATGTGCGTGCGGACATACATGCGTGCATGCGTGCGTACATACATGCGTGTGTGCGTGCGTACCTACGTGCCTGTGCACATACGTGCGTGAATGCGTGTGTGCATGCGTACGTTTGTGCGTCCCTACATGCGTGTGCGTGCGTCCCTACATGCGTACATGCGTGCGTACATACACGCGTGCGTGCGTGCGTACATGCGTGCATGCGTGCGTACATGCGTGCATGCGTGCGTATATACCTGCGTGCATACATGCGTGCGTACCAACGTACGTGTGCGCATACGTGCGTGCGTGCGTGCGTGCGTGCGTGCGTGCGTGCGTGCGTGCGTGCGTGCGTGCGTGCGTGCGCGCGTGCGTGCATACCAGCGTGATATGAATGTGGCACATTGGCATTGTCGCACATCTCGACACGGTAACGAACCAATAATCATGTTATTAAATAAACGATTATAACGCATAGAACTACAAACTATAAAATATTCCTTAATCGCTCAAATCAATCGATCAAATCAGATCAATCTATCAGATCAGATCAATATCGACGATCGTATAGACAACCAACCTTGTAGAAGTCGAATGAGAGGTAGAGCTGCATGTCGGGATCGTTGAGTGATTTGTCGTCAGGTGCGAGTGATTTTACGTTGCTTATTGGGATCAGGTTCCTACTCCCCTTCGTGTTGAGTGGGTTCAGTTGCTAGTAGAACAAATGAAATAAATAAATAACTATATATATATATATATATATATATATATAT